AGGATATGAGGTAACTTCTCACGAAGGCAAGTTTACCTTCGTGAGAAGTTACCTTGATATCCCGAATGTCCATCTCTAGTACTTCCCACGGACGCAAGAAGCGTGTAGGCAACATGTGAAGTTGTTTGCTCCACGGCCTCTTCCGCATGCGGCATCTGGATGATAGCCGGTGATCAGCAAGTACTCGCTGGCCATTGTCGATCGAGCCACCAAGTTCCTGTTTGCTTTCCCGCTACCCACGAACGAGACAATAGGAGTCATCTGGAAGCTGCTGGAGCTCATCGTCACCAGACATAGGACTGGCCACAGACTCCCGTAGCGGCTCCCCTCTTTACGTTGTTGAACCGACGGGTGGCTCAAGGCACACAAGAAACATCGTTGGTAGGGGCGTGGGAGTATCACGGCAAGCATCAAGATGACACCATGTTTTCCTGGCTCACCGAAGACGGCGTCAAGGACAGTTTTTTACCCTTGCAATTTGACGTCTTTCACGTCATGTGGGAAGACTGTCACGGCAGAGCAACAGCGCCGAGACCCGCAGCAATACCTTCGAGAGGAGAACGGGAAGTAACCACTTGGGCCGAAGCTCTGGAAGAATTCCCCTGTGGGACCGAAGTAGGAAGGGAGCTCACAGACCAAGAAGGCAACATCGTCGTTAGCCGAGGGCGAGTCTGCGACTCTTACGACCCGTATTGGAGAGTGGAATTCAGCGACAACGATTGGAAAGAACTCAAACGGGAGTTAAGACAAGGCATTGACCTGGTCACAAGACTTCCCCTGTTGAAGGTTCAAGAATACTGAAGTCGTACACTGCCGGCAGCTCCGCGCTGTGTATGCGGGAAGCTGGGGGGGGTGTCGTGGTTGTGAAATCAGGAACGCACAAGATCGTCTTGTTCAATTCGAAATCTTCTAAGTCAGTTGAAGTTCGAGATCGCCTTCGTCAGTTGAAGACAGCCTTCGGCAGTGGAAGAGCATCTTCGGCAGTGGAAGATCGCCTTTATCAGCTAAGATCGTCTTCGACAGTTGCAGATCGGCGTCATCAGTTGAAGACTATATTCTTCAACTGAAGACCGTCTTCGTCAAGGAGACCAGTCTACGACGCTAAAGCACGAACGGCCGCCGTTCGAGGTTGATGATTTCTGACATGTAACATCGACATCGACCTCAAGACCGGCATCCGCTTTTCACTCTAATAGGTTTAAATGCCCTTGCAGGTCTAATCTAGGAAGGGCGGCACCGTGCTTTGTATAAGTCTATTTCCCGGCGTGGTATGACCTGGCGAGGGAGAAGTAAGCGCTCTGTCGTCTCCTTAGCATTTTGTGTTTTCCAACACATTTGTGCTGGGGGGATGTAGCAGCAACGTAGCGCTTGGGTAAAAACGATGATTCAGCCACCCCGAGAAGGGGGCTAATGAGGGCTGGGGTATATCTCAATAATATGCCGGAATCAACAGTGGAACCCCCGCCTTGTTCCGCCATACGCGTGACTCTTGTCACGGCTCTTACCAAAGAAGGAACCTAAGCCAATTGCGATCAGCTAGGACTGCAAGTCGATGTTACCTAGTCAGATCCTAGCTACCAGCTGTTCGAGCAGCTAGCGTCGGACGTACCGCTGGATAGCCAGAGTGAGCCGCGTTGGAAGCTGGAGTAGCTAGGTTTATCAGCGATGTTGATCACCCATGCATGAGCTAACCCCGAGCTACCCCCAGTAATAGATGAACCCTAGCCAGCAGATATCAAAGCTAAAGTAAAGGTAATCAACCGTACTAGTGACAAAATAGCTGTAACTGTTTCACAGGAATTGTCGTAAAGCCCAGTATCTAGCCGAAATTTCTTGAGAGTTTCATGAGGGTCTCATAAGACCCTCAGCTTCTTTCGGAGGCCAAAGAAATACAACGGACACAACCATTCACAAGCGCTCGCGTGCGCCAAGGTGCGTAGTTCGCGGTAACAAGCGACCACGCACACCTCGGCGTTTGATTTGACCGTGTGTGGTGTCCTATCCACCACGTCTGGAAAGCGATCAACTTCACCAACTTTGGACGTATGCACCCTCAACGCAGATACTTCTAGTTTACAACATATTACACATACCATGTGGTGGTAGATCCCTCTGTGAATTCAACATCTAACTCGTGACTAAAACACTCGTACACGTACATGGAAGGAACGAACGCCATTGCAGCACTAAACCTCGACGAGTACGAGCTTTCGGACAAACCCACAAACTTACGACCTTTTCATGTCTCATGTACACCGTGATACCCCGAACCAAATTATGCAATGCGTAACCGACAAAAGAAGGGAACATACGACTGTACAATGAACGGCTCTATACAACGAAACACGAACTTCGCACGCCAAAGATATGTGTTTATACGCTAATCGCTTGAGTTTTAAACGTCCTCTTGTGGATTCTGTTGTGTGATTATGTCGATCCTGCGCTGGGTGAGATTCTCTGTAAATTGGCCTCATGCGACACTCAGCCCCGACCTACTGCCAGATTCCCCTACAAAAATACCAAACCCATTTTCAGAACTACGAGTACTGCAACGCACACACGCGTTGGGGACAATGGGTTAACCATGCTGGCAAACAGTTTACTTGTCCCGACCCGGCCATGCTCGCAGGCATTTCACTTGTCGCGACAGGCCGCACCGTTCCTTCTTCAGAGGTCAATCTCCAGCAGGGAACCGGTCTCCGATTCTCCGTATGGCTCTTGACGTTGGGCGCTAGCACTTGGCACGGCTGTTGCAGTTTCAAGCCTCGAGTCGACGTCGTCCTCGTGCTCTCTACGGCTGGAGATTTCTCCAGCGGCATCGGTTTCAGGCGGCCGGGTCGGAGGGAATTCTCGTGGACCGTAATCGCTGCTGTGTTCCGGCCCGTGAGCTCCGGCAGAGCCGCTGCTGTTGCTGCTGCTCGTGGGGGGGAGAACCCCATCGCGATGGCGCCACAGCCACTTCTCATCGTAGACGGAGCTGCTCGATGATGAACACGGGGGACGAGTCCGGGCCTGGCCGTCACTGTCGTGTTCCGTTTCGGCCGCACCCGCGGCAGCGACGGCGGCGGCGGCGGCGGCGCTGGAGTACGGCGGGTCTTCGTCTGGGTTCTGTCGGTACGGGGCTGAGCACCTCGTTGTCAAACTCCCGCGCGCTGCGGCAGCCGCCGCCGCCGCCGCCACCGCTGCCACCAGCGGCGGTGCTCTTTTCCTCTCCGTTGTCTTGGAAGGCAAGTCGATAGCCGCTACCATCACGTCCATCGTCACGCCTTCCTTCGCCTGAACCGTCGTCATTACTGTCGGAAGAATTTACGTCTTGCACCCAAGACCCCCACTTCTCAGAAAAGGCGTCAGCAAGCCGTCCGCTTCGGGCCCCCTCGGTGTTGGCTGAGCCGGCACTGGCGACCGCCGGCGCTATGGCTGCTGGTACTTCTGCGTCCGGCGTGACCAGTTCCGAGGCGGACAGGATACTCAGCGCGTCTTCGTAGTCGTTAGTTGACGGGGAGGATAGGCCCCTGTCGTTACCCCCGTCTTGTCCGTCCCTTAGGCAAAACTGCGGCATCGATTGGCGGTGATCACTGCCGCCGCCGCCGCTGTTGCCGCCGCTGCTCCCACCGCTGCCGAACCACCCCGACGGCCGATGAGGACGCAGAGCCCTCTTGTGCGGGCTGTGAATGACGAGCTCGATCGTGTCGCCCTCGCTGGAAACAACGGCGTTCGAGTCCACTCCGGTGAGTGGCATCGGGACCGGTGTCGGGCTGTCGGGGGTAACACTCACCGGTGCTTGCTCGTGGCGGCGGAACGAGGAAAAAGGACGGAGCACTCGTTGTAGAAAGCTTGGAAAAGGGGCGGTCGGGAGGGAAAGCAAGGGCATGGAAGGAACAAGGTTAGCCTCGGGTGTCGAACAGCGGGTTGAAAGCCGCGCGCCGGGAGAGAGGCCAACCCACGATGATGCTTCACATAGTTTCTGTACACAACAGTGGGCTGCCTGCGAAACAAACGTGCGCGGCGTCAGTTGTCTTCACCTGGGGTGCATGTATTTCCTCTATGCCTCCAATATGCCGATTGCACTGCTACAGGTGTTGCTGCCCCTTTGGCATCGAGAAACACCAGACCAACAGCCCCCACACGCTACGAACGAGAATTTCAGCAACGCGTGGAACGGCCAACCCGCGTGAACTGACCTCCTAGTCCCAGCCGATACGCGCTCCCACGCCCCTGGTGCTCGTCCTCGTCGCGCCCCTATCCCGAGGATGAAGGCTTCGTCCTCGTCGTAGTCGCGGAAACCCTTCTTTTCGTTTCCTTGCCGCCGTCCAGCAGCTTTATCTCCGCCGTCGCCACCGGATTGTCGCTGCCCCCCGGCGCTCGCTTCTTGATTGTCGTCGATCTCGAAGTCGCTGCTGGTGGAACAGGTGTCCTGTCTCGTGAGCGTGTGTGTGCTGGACCGCGCGGATGACGCTCCCAGCGGAGATCGGGCCCGGGGTGGCGTGAAGAGAGCGCTCCTCTGTTTCTCGAGGCTGGTGGTAACACCGTCATTGTTGACGTCCTTGGAAAGCGGTCTCAGACACCTCTGAGAGGAGAGGCCGATGAAGAACATCGCTCCCATCACGTAGATCAGAGATTGGCAAATCCTGCAGAGGCGTTTGGAGAAAGATTGTGTTGGGATAGACGCGTTGAAACACAGGGGGAATAATGAGAGAGATGAAGTGGTGATGCCGATGTGGACAAGGCGGGGAAGGTTGGATGCAGGGAGATAGGTGGGTCTAGGGAGAGTGGAAGACAGAGGATCACGGGTTTGGAGAGGGCGGTGTGCACGTGACGTGTGCACCACTCTCAGCTCCATCGAGAGCATGTCCCCGTAAATGCACGTGAGGTACTACTGCGGTGCTACCACACAACACTATTGGAAAATTCCCATGCAGACATTTCTCCACATCGCGCGTGCGACTCCTCAAGCCATCGCCGCCTAGAAATCTTACACACGGAAGAGAGGAAGTTCGCTGCAACAGACCTCGATACGTGGCACCAGTCGCCGAGTGGATCGTCAAGGATCTTGAATATCTCTCCCGACTCGCCGAGCAATCGGCCGAGCCCAAGCTTCAGCACGCAGCTCCCCGTGGCTGCCGTCGCCACCACGAAACCCTTGGCATGGTGCTCTGACGGGAACACCAACACAGCAAAGGTGACCTGGAAGAAAACACGAAAAAGAAGGAGTGTCACAGATAGAGGCAATGCGAACCAACAAGAGTGGTCAATGGTCTCAGCATACGACTTGCGGTGCCATCCAATGCGAACCAACAAGAGTGGTTTTGGTCTCAACTTGCAATGTGCGGTGGCCGTGTGGGACGAGTTCAGATCCCTACAGCGATCTGCGAGACAGGATTGTTAACCTCACCGTCAGAACGAAAAAAATGGCCCAGCAGACGTACCGCGACCCGATGTCCGATATCATGCCGATGTCGATGAGCTGGTTCAACAGAGAACACAGCAATAGACGCGCGAATTCAAAAAGTATTTGCCAACGAACGACCAAACGAGGCTAAGCTCATCATTGCAGCGCACGACACCACAAAGCCAGTGTGGCTGAGAGACGAGAGTCACACACCAGCTGATACCGCCGCGAGCTTCAGTAGCTGCGGTTGCTGCTGCTGCTGCTGCTTCTACCGTTTAGCACAGGATGAACACACGTCTCATATCGACTGCCCACTTTCAACCAGTACATCAAAGGCCTAGAAGCACAAGAGCATGTCGAACACAATTCTTGGCCACCAATCCAAAACAAATGCCTCAGTTTGGTGGATGGCTTCGCATACCGCGTACCACAAAGAGTGCAGGAACCGCGAGCCCGGCCACAGTGTTCCATCGGGCCATAGCTCGATGGTGAAGCGCGAGGTACCCGACCAGCATCCCGAAGGTGACTGCACCCACAAAGGCCATCTGCGAGTAAAACGGAAGGTACAGGCGAGGGAAACGGAGGGGAAAGGGGTAGGAGGAAAGTCATGAAGAACTCGTTGTCACGATCAACTTGGAGCACTATTGTCCTCCTCACATGCGTTTTGTCCCAGCAAGTACACACCTTTGTTTTCTGTTTCCAGGCGTCGAACGAGACGATGTACAGCCACAGTTGACGAAATTTCTTTGAACGCAATGTAACATGTGTCGACGATGAGACCACAGATTCTGATGAAAACCTGTAGATTTCATTGTACAGACATATTGACCAACCCAGCGCAGTGCTAAACACCCTGTCTTGTGGGCTCGGGGGCTAGGTATCCTTTCCACCCTGCATGTAAAATGAGCCATATATGTACTCCTTTGGGTTAAACGCCGCTGTCCTCTGTGCGCACCCACTTCATTGGTAGGGCTATACATTTGGCTCTACATTTGCTAGGCTTAGCATCGCAGCCTCACCACATAGCTCCCAGAGATGAGATATGACGCGTTGGCCGCCTTGAATGCACCAATCTCCATTCCCATCAGGATGGTGTTGGTGCGGGGGCGGCTGAGGAAACGCCGGGAGCAGGCGGGCGGGTGGTAGGAAGACGACTTGCTGCGGCGGTTCATATAAGCTTGTACGGCATTTTTGGAGGAAAACCAACTGGCGAGGGGATATCGCCGCTTCATGGTGCCAGTTGTTGACCTTGTTCCTGAACAAACAGCTTGCTTGAGGTGTGGGTGCACGATACGCCATGGCCAACCCCCACACGCACGTACCTAAGCCGCCGGCCCAACGCAGTACACACGCAAGCACCCACGCACATGCTCGACGCACACAGCACTCTGAAAATTGAAGCTCCGTCCACAGCCTACCTCAACCCGGTCATCGCCATGTAGGGACCAAGCACGCACGCCGACACCGCCAGAAGGTTGATGATGACGTCGAGCATTCTTGGCGACGAACGCGTCACCCCGTCGAGGGCAACGGGCTGTAGCCCTCCGTCTGCTGCAATGGATTCCAGCGGAGGCACCCACTGACCGTCCGGGCCCTGCGCAAGGCGAATACCGAAGGAGGAAGCGCCAACCACCACCAAGTTTAGCGGCGCGGCAGCGGCGTCCAACACGCAGTAAGTAGCCGAGTGGTTCCAACGTTTACAAGTCGTACGTGGAGACGTGTTAAAGCCCACCTCAAAGGAGAAGCATGGCCGGTAGACACTTCCGAACAAGGACGAACAAGGACGATCGATGCTGGAGTGTCCTATCGCGACCACGTGGCAAATATCTCAGACCGGTCGTTTCTGACATTCATTCCGGGCAATATTTTAATGGCTATAGAGCAAGCCAAGTACATACCCAACGGTGGATGCATATGGTGTTGTGATGTTATTACCGAAGTACTATTGTTTACAACAGTACAAATATTAATGACTGGCATTAGCATTCCAACATATGACTCAACGACAAGCGCCGGGAGGGGGGAAAAGGCGCGAAGTTGTTCGTTGTCAGCCTTGTGTCGTGCAGCAATTTCTTCTGAAATGTGTCCTGTCCAGAACACGCCGGATCCTATTGGCTCACACCAGCCAGCGCACCTGGGTGATTCTGACGTAATCCACAAGCATCTCCGTTGGCACTGAGGGCGAATGAAGGGCCCTTGTAGAGGCCGACGAAGGATCCTCTTCTTCTGCGCTATCACCATCGCCAACATCACCACCGCCACCAACTGCTACCCCCATCTCAAGGTGAAACGCTTTGTTGAAGGGGGCCGGGAAATCGTCGGGGTACTTCGCAAACCAGGCGCTCTTCTTGCAGTACTGACGGCCATCCACGTACCTTGTTGATAGGAGAGATTTGTGGGTGAGAGGTGACGTTGGGCAACAGCTTTCACGGCCAGTTGTTACATTAACTTGGAGGAAGTAACGAGGAACGGGCATCTCAAAAATCAATATGTCTTGGTTGAGATTTTTCTGCGGACGAACAGTCGGATGGACATGGTTGTTTGTTAGCGTTTCATGGACGGTGCCAGGTTGACTCCATTAGCCCGGCCTGGTGCTCTCGCCCAAAATATTTGAACCGAGTCGTGAAGGTTGCTGCCTTCACGGTGGATCTGTGAAGATTGCTGTCCTTCCGAGGAGCTCACGCTCGTAAGAATATCTCTGCAGGTTATCTACCGGCCGCGTCAAACGTTGCGTTAGCCTGAAAGCCAAAATGTTCACAACCACAGAAACGCTTGCTGATCGTAAATGGAGAACACTGACGTATTGTGAGCCGGCTAGAGCGGTCGATGCTAATACTAGAGGCACACACACACGCCCCACACAGAAAAAACGAGATTGTTCGCCCCAACACCACCGATATCTTTGAAATACTGCTGTTGTGCTTGTTCGTGAACAAACAACCAAGATTGCTGACTCACCAACGAATTTCATCTTCTTCCCATTCTAAGGCATACACGTGGAAGCCGTCGCTCCAGTCGACGCCGTGCTCTGCGGGCAAGCTGCAACCGCCGCCTTTGTCGGGCCAAGAGCTCGAGCTAGTGCAACCCCACCTATCCTCCTCGTAGTCTCCGAAGCCCAGGGAGGCAGTGATGTCGGGTCCGGACTTATCAGCCGCGTGGTATTGCCTTGCCCGAATCTAACCAAGTTTGTTGCCGTGTCAGTAGACAGGGGGAAGGTGAGGTGAGGGCCGCCGGGGCAGTGAGAACCAATCTAATCAATCTTCCGACAACTTAGATGAGATGCCGGAGGAAATCTACATACTGACAGACTTCTGCCAGCAGAGACACCTAGACGAACGAGGAAGAAATTGAGGACGTTGCCCTGAAGGGGCTTTACGACTCTTGTGGGACTCGAAACAACCAGAACGGGTTTGCGACCGCCCGGTGCATGCGTCTGTAGGTTGTCCTGCGCTGCAAGAAGCGCGTACCCTCCTTAAGAAACGTGTTGTCGGTTGTCTCCAGGTCAAGAGCTCTGCTTCATGCTCCAGCATTCAAAAAGAGGGAAATCGTAGCCGTGCTCACCTCGGCAATGGCGACGCGAGCGCAGGGTGTATGGCCGACAGTGCCCGCGTCGGACGGCATGAGCCAGAAGCCCGATGAACCTCTGGAGGAGACCTTTGCGCTTATTTCTACCCTTCCGTGAACAAAGTTTGCAGAGTGTGCAGTGCCGATTCGACCGCGCGGTGGGGGTTTCGAGGGTCCTGGCCCCACCAACACTTCGGCACCGTTACCCTTGCCTCTCGAATTTTGGGGTGGGGGAGCAGCGGCGGCTACCATGACGAGGTAGTCGTCAGCGCCGATATAGGCTTGGAGATGTGGGTTGGAGAACGAACGCATTCGATGATGATTTTCTGTTGCACTAGTGTTGTTGTCGCTTTGTTCCCGGCGAACGCCGCCCTCGACAGTAACTGGGTCACTCTCCTCTTCAGTAGAATCTGGAAATTCCCATTTGTCCACGTCCACGTCCTGTTCGAGGATGCAGCACGACAGTGTTTCAGAGTGTACTAATACAACCCGGTGAGTTCCATCTTCTCTGAAATTAATTTTTCTCTACCTTTGTGTGTACGTTGTGCTGTTCGCAGATCAGGCCTCTTCCCGATGTTTACGATGCGAAGCCACACAGGCCAAGAGCTGGCTTCGAGGTCCCTACAAGAGTTTCTGCGGGACTTGTGGGCCAAGTCCAGCAAGTGGTTGAACCAGCACTCTTAGAGAACGTCTCCCAGAGTTATCGTAAGGAAGAAACGTTCCGAGTTTACGTTCCTAATCGTCCTGTGTGGGCAGTTGCGATCACAGAATATTCGTGGATCTCGTCGATCAGGCGGTGCAGCAGGTCCCATGTGATACGGCGGTGTACAGTACAAGAGATTTTCCTCTCTACATGAATTTCTGTAGGCTCTAGGCTATTGTCTTTGTCGCCATCCTCATGCCTGCTAGGTCTACATACTATGTAGACGCACGTGAACCTCACGGAACAAAATAACGCTGTGAGCACAAACAACGCTGCTATGCACTCTGCGTGTTCTCTTGACGAATTGAATTGGATAAGAGTTGGTCAACGGCCGCAGGGAAGTCTCACCTCTCCTTGGAACTCGTCGACCCAGACTGTCGTCCAAGATGCAGTCGAGGCAGACGCCGCCGAAACCAACACCACAGATGACAACCGACACGGTATTAAGCAGACCAGGAGTAGCAGCATCGTCTTTGTCGACACCCAATTACTTTTCATCTTCATCTTTTCAAAGCGCACCTCAAGCCGACCAAATTACACCGGTACCGGGCCCGATTCCGGCAGACATATCACGGGTGGAGAATTCCTGTATCTGCTAACAACACAAATATGCTCTTCCTGAGAGAGCATTTGGGGTGGTGTGCAGTGTTGTCGACACGCACACCTTCAACGCCCGATGCACAAGCGGAAATGCCGGTCAACTTCGGAGCGTACCCCCAACGAACATGAACATTTGGCGCGCCATCGACGGTTTCACGCGAAATACTCGAAACGGCACAAGACAACGCCACAAAAATAAAAACAACTCCTTGAACCCTGGTACTCTCTATTCTCGATTCTAGTGTTGGACCGATAACCGATCAGCGCTAAGCGCTACACTCGCGCCCGAACATGGAGGGGTCCATCGAAGAGGAAGAGCTGACCGCCCAGCGTGATGCAGCAGTATCCCTATGTAAAGACCTACAGGAGAAGGTGCGATCCCCTTGGAATAAATGCAAAGACCAACGGAAGAATACGGTAGCAGACCTTGCAGATGAGAGCATGATATGCATATGGAGGCTCCGCATCGTGCGAGGCACACAGATGGGAATTCAGCATATGCCACACAGCAGTAAACCCGTTGGCTAATTGCCGTGTTTCAGGGCGTTGGGGCATGAAAAACACACCACACATGACCAACGCAGCAATCTCGCATGTGTCACCACGCACGTTAGGCGTCTAGCAGTAGAATTCCCTAGAATGTGTAGGCAATGCGTGGATTGCCGCAGGCAAAAAAATACTGCTAGAGTGGGGTGCCAGAAACCGATGGATTGGGGCAGTTGCCCCATTGACGACGTGAGAAATGCAGGACTGAAATACTCTCGACGATTGCCTACTGCTGTAGTCTGTGTAGGAGTAGTGCTATTTTTCACTCGGTCTGTTGGATGTACTCACGGCATCGGCAGATCATTACATGCAAGAATTTTCCGAGCAGATGGAGCGGGGAGTTGGGGGTTCAACAGCTGCAGTTGTTATGGATTAGAGTTGGTGGTATCTACCAACACATTGCCACATATCACCAGGATTGAGGGTGTGGGTGTCTACAACGGCATTGGTGTTTGTGGTTTATGAGTTTTCACTCTCTTTTCTTTTCCTGTTTATAATCAAGTCCTTTTCCCCGGTTTTCACGCCACCCGACTATCACGCTATTCGGCTTCTACGCCAACCCGACTATCACACGCCACGCGGCTTCCACCCCTCCAGGACTTCTACGTCCTTCCATATTCCTTTACCCTACGGCTCCACGCCACCGGGCTTCCACGCCACATCCAGAGATACCATAACCTTCCGAGCTCCCACCCTACACCACAAAGTAGGAAAGGCTAACACGCCGTGCGAATAATTTCTGTATTTTACCGTTGAGAGGCTTCCACGCTGCTGGCTCTTTTATCCCCCACGACGGGACCCCGCGCCGGGGCACAAAGCTAATCAACACAGTCGGTGCTCTGTGAGAGGGATCCACGTCTCCTGTGGCCCGACATACCGCGCTGCCACGCCAAGGACCTTCGAGTACCCCAGACATTCAGGGAGGCAAGGGACAGCGGCCACAGCGTGCAGTTTATGGACGCGGCGAAACGGGAGGTGTTTGGGTTACTCGAAGCAGGAGCAGATTGTCGGACCGTGGCAACGAATCGATAGTTGTATCAAGTCGAAGTTTGTGTTCGATTGGAAAGTAGATGCGTTCGACTTCCCTACGAAGGCCAAGGCCAGACTTGTTGCTAGAGGAGATATGCAGAAGGAGTACATTGACTTTGGTGATTTGTATGCACCAACTGTAGCTTCGTCTAGTGTTCGTTCGTTGGCAGCTTTGGCGTGCGAGCTTGACTTGGAGTTGTGTCATTTCGATATCGATCAGGCATTTGTGAGGGCCCCTCTTTCCAGGAAGGTATTTGTATGCGACTGCCGGAAGGATGTGGTGGGTTGTCGGGGAAGACTGTGCAGTTGAACAAGAGCCTTATGACTGAGGTAGGCATCTGGGGAGTGGTACACGTTGCTGAATAAATGTCTTTTGGCTTCGGGGTTCGAGCAGTGCATGGCTGATTCGTGTGTTTTTCGTTTAGTCGAAGGGGGGAAGTAGTGTTGCTTCTAGTAGTACACGTAGACGATATTTTTGCAGTGGGGACGAAGGAAAGGTGTGATCAATTTGGGAAGGACCTGAGCGAGTACGTGCCGGTGAAGTCTCTGGGAGAGTTGAAGTGGTACTCTGGTTGCTATTACGAGAGGGACAGAGAGGCAGGTAGGTTGACGATTTCGCAGCAGACATGCACCGAAGAGTTGGGAGAGAGATTTGGTGTCAAGTGGGGGGGGCATTCCTTTGCCCACGACCTGGAGACTTTGGGACTTTGACGTGAACGAACCGAGCGTAGAGTACCCGTTTCGCGCGCTGATTGGTTCGCTGCCGTGGATTGCCTTGTTGACTACTTTAGGCCGGATATCGCGAATGCGGTGAGGGCAATGGCGAGGTACTGCTGTAGGAAGACTGCACTTCGCATCTTATGATATGCAGATATGATTAGTTCTTTCGAGATTTCTTTTCAGAGGGGGACGGGATCGCGTTCGCCGACGCAGACTACGCCTCGCGTGCGACGGACCGTTGATCGGTTTCAGGGGGAGTAGTGATGTGTGCAGGAGGAGCGATTGCATGGTTCTCCAAGACTCAGAAGTGTGTGACTTTGTCTACATCTCAGGCAGAATACGTCGCGATGGCGGACATGGGGAAATAGATTCTGTTTTTGACGCAGGTTTGGCGCTTCATGCTGCCGAAGGAGTTGCGGCCGTGCATTCCGCTGTATGAGAATAACGAGGGTGCTATCCAGATCGCAAAACACCCGATCTCGAACTCCAACTCAAAGCACATCGATGTGCGGCATCACTTCCTCAGGCAGCTCGTAGATGAGAAGGAGGTAGAGATCATCCACGTAGCGTCGCAATAAAAGCATACTGACTTCCTCACGAAGGCGCTACCTGAGAGGGAGGTTGTGTTCCGCAGGGACTACGTGATGAACTTGAAGTGAGCAGTCCCGAAGTTTCTTTTTGTTTGTGTTATTCGTTCGGTGACCGATGGAAATTATTGTAAGTGTTTCTGGTTTAAGGGTTGGAAGTAGTTTCAAACCGATGGAAACTCTAACGAGTGTTTCTGGTTTCATGGTCTGTATCGTCGTTTTGTGACAAGAATGAGATATAAGATGGAAGGGATGTCAAGCACTAAATTTTGTTTCCAGGTGTTTGGTATGGGAGTGTAGTAAGGATAGTTATAAGTCCGGGTGTAATCTTGCCAATGCAGAGAATAGGGGGGCTGTTGGATGTACTCACAGTATCGACAGATCATTACGAGCAAGATTTTCCGAGCAGATGGAGCGGGGAGTTTGCGGGTTCAACAGCTGCAGTTGCTATGGATTAGAGTTGGTGGTATCTACCAACACATTGCCACATATCACCAGGATTCAGGATGTGGTTGTCTACAACGGCATTGGTGTTTGTGGTTTTTATGGATTCTCACTCTCTTTTCTTTTCCTGTTTATAATCAAGTCCTTTTCCCCGGTTTTCACGCCACCCGACTATCACGCTATTCGGCTTCCACGCCAACCCGGCTATCACGCCACGCGGCTTCCACGCCTGCAGGACTTCTACTTCCTTCCATATTCCTTTACCCTACGGCTTCCACGCCACCGAGCTTCCACGCCACATCCAGAGATACCATACCCTTCCGAGCTCCCACGCTGCACCACAAAGTAGGAAATGCTAACACGCCTGCGGGTAGTTTGTATATTACCGTTGAGCGGCTTCCACGCTGCTGGCTCTTTTATCCCCCACGACGGGACCCCGCGCCGGGGCATAAAGCTACTCAACACAGTCGGTGCTCTGCTCGCGCGTGGACAGACGAAGCGTAGAGAGGTATAGTGCTGGGCCCGGTTTAGTGCCGGTACGTGCACAGAGCGTTCACCGGCACTAAACCGGGCACCCGGCACTATTGCGAATAGTGCCAAAACGGCACTATTGAGGGCTGGCCAATCCCTCATTAGTGCCGGTACCGGCTCTAATGAGGTTGTCTTCGATTTATGGTGTAGCGCCCACGGTTGCGGGGTCAACAGAGAACGAAATGGATCGACACTACTACTATACTGTTGAGTGAGGTTCCAGCGTGGGCGTGGGCAGACATGTTGTGTGGTTCCAACCTGTGGAGCCCACAAGAGTTTGTTGTAAAGTAAGATGCAGCAGTACATACAGTAGTTGCATTTTGGGCTAAAGCCTCACCAGGACAAGTCGACGGCGAAAGTAAGATGCACGTCATACACCCGAGTAAGCTGTGACGGCACAAACTGCTTGTAAAGCTCTTGTTCGTACAAAGCTAAAGCCCACTCCTCGCTGCCCACTTCGATGGTTCAGAATGAAAATGAAGAAACCAAAAAGCGCACCAAAGACAACAACAAAAAAACACTACAACAACAGCTGTAACCCCCGCCCTCACTACTGTACGTCGGGACAACTCTCTCGTGTCTGCCTGGCGCACCCGCTTCGATGTTGCAAAAAAAAAAAAAACGACAAGCACGACAGGCAGCGCACCGCAAAAAGTCAAACAACCGTTTAGTACCACAGCTGTACCCCGCCCTTACTCCGGAGCAACAAACTCTCTCATGTCTGCCTGGCGCACCCGCTTAGCGGAATGCGCTGCAATCATCGCCATCTTCGCTTTCGCTAGGTAGAGCGCCGCGTCTTCGTTGCCACTCTCCTCTGCTGCCGCTTCCATGACGCCGAAGTGAGACGACAGTTCACCATAAGCCGGTGGGGCACGGCGAGCCAGCCCCGTGTTGTCATCGCCGCTGTCCTCCTGTTCGTCCTCATCCTCGCAGCCGGTAGACACGCGAGTCCCAGCCAGCTGTGAAGTCATGCCGTCCACCGTATCCTGTCTGAGAGCCTCCACCACTTCATCGTCGTCCTCGATGGTAGCCCACCCCTGAATCGCGTTCACCGCTTCCTCCACGATCGGCTTTCCGGGTTCGATGCCTAGGTCTGCCATGAGTTCGGCGATGTCCTCGTCCTCGATTCGGGATCCCTGCTGGTGCGCCTCGTGCACGCTCGTGCTCAACGTGTTGAGAGTCTCCGTGAGAGCCTTCAAGGCAGGCTCGGCGATCTGGAACCGGGTCTTTCCGTGTTGCTTGCTGAGCTCAGCCGCCATCTCCTCCGGAAGAGTCTCGGCTTTGACAAAGCACCTGATCCCAGGTAGCGCAGAAAATGTCATGCATACGTTTGTGGGTGGACAACAAGCGGATGTTACATTAACCCAGTGACGATCAGTGACTCATAGGCGGGCGAGGACCCCTTTTTAACGAAAAACAACGGAGATGCTCGGATGTTGGAATACTCAGTCGAAAACAATCTAATCTATCCGAATAACCTTACCCACGTTACGTACCACGAAAGCTAACTGCACCAAGGCGGGAGTTGGACATTTTACATTATAAACAGCGATAGCACATGTTCAAACCTCACCTGGCGATGTCCTGGGCGGTGACGCTGGCCCATGCTTTCTGGAGAAGTTCAGCGGCATCTCGCACGTGAGGTTGGTGCCCTTGCGCCAGCCCCATTGTCTCGGCCTTCATTTTGCGAGCTTTGGCCTGGGCACGAAGGGTGTCAGCCACCAACATGCTCGATGTCTTCACATCGAGCAGCTCCTTCCTGTAGCTGTACTTCGTCTTGGCGATGATCCCCATATCCATGGGCTGGTGTACGGAGGTGCACAGGGGAGGGTAGAACTTGATGGTAACTTGCCCCCGATCATCCACTAGATCACCGTGAGAAGAACAGCCGTCCATCAGAAGCAGCACAGGTTTGTGAGTGAAGCGCCGAACGAACGGGAGGAAGACATCACACCACCACTTGCGGAACGTCGCGGTGTCGGACCACGCGTTGGCCTGCGAGAAGTACTTGAGAGGTGAAGGCGTGTCCTTGAAGCAGCGGGGCTCCTTTGCCTTCCCGATGATGGACATGTCAACCTTCGCAGTGCCGTCGGCATTGGCGCACATGATGGGAGACAGTCGATCCTTGAAGAACATGCCCTTGGAGCCCCGCGCCGTCTTCCGATCCTCCGAGGTGGACAGGTACGTGCGCCTGGGAATGAGCTTCAACTGGAGGCCTGTCTCGTCGACGTTGAAGATGAGCCTAGCCGGGTACTTTGCGCAAGGGCCCTGAGTTCCTCCATGGCTTCCTTGATGGCCTCCTTGTTGACGCTACCAGCCTCGCCATGAAGTCTCACGCTGTCGATGTTGTTGCGCTTCACGAAGTTCTTGGCCCACCTTTCGCCGGCCTTGAAATCCTCGACCCTCGCCTTCACTTCCTTAGAAGCTGCTGGATCAGCCAGCAGGGTTGCCCTGGCGGAACGGCCGAAGCTTCGAAGGACGTCGCGCGTGACGGGCATCTTGGTCTTCCGGGCTTTCTCTAGTAGATCAAGAGCTATGATGTCCACCTATTGACCGTCAAACGAGGAGTAAACAATATAGAGGGTACAGAAGATCGCACGATTAGTTTCGAACATTAGACTCAGCGCACAGCAGCAGTAGTTGGTAGGAAACATTTCCGGGCATTTGAAGAATCACAGAAGCGCGCCGCTTCATCCGCATGTGTATGTATTGTAACTCGTTTGAAAGAAAAGGTGTGCGTGCAATGTAATGTATATTTGGTTCGCGGTTTATGCTGGCGCAGCAGCACACGAAACGATAAAACAATGAAGGTTGCAACAAAAGTGAAAAACAAAGACGAAAGGGAACAAGCTCAACAAGTACTGTACTGTAGAAGTCGAGAAAAACAAGAAAAAAAGGGAAAGGGAAAAGGGAAGAACTTGACAAGAGAAGAAGAAGAAGAAAAAAAGGCACATCAGAACAAACGAACAAGGCTAAAAAAAAAAAGGGCCCTGCAAAAAAAAAGGCCCGGCAAAAAAAAAAGGCAAAAAGGCCCGGGAAGTATTTTTTTTTTAAACGACAGCAGTGTAGCGCACCTCCGGAAAGTCGCCTGTGCGCACATTTTTCTTGCTTCCTCCGCCTCCTGCAGCAGCCTCGGTCTCGTCCTTCTTCCGTTTTTTCTTCACATCCCGGACCAACCGTTCCGAGCACCCGAAGCGATCTGCGATCTGCTCATGAGTCACCTTGTCATCCATCAGCTTCAGCATCTCAAGCTTGGCGCCGAAATCCGGCCGCGCACGAGGCCCCGCACGAGGCTGAGACTTCTTACTCCCCCATTCGTGGCCTTCGGGCGTTTAGATTGTGCCCTCCCAGCGCTGTTTGCTGCTGGCCCTTTGCGCTTGCCGGCCTTGGCGACGCACGCGCTGCAGATGCGGTGATTTTCGTTGTGTGCATCAACCACGCTGCCGCAAATGCCGTGCAGCCGCCCGCGACATCCTCCCTGGCAGCCGTGGCCATGAGGGGCTTGCGGCGTTGTGTCCTGCTGTTGAAGGCACAGTTCACCTTCCGCACATGGCATGGTACGCCCCTGCGTAGAGCTGTTCGGGTCTGCAGCAGCACGTGTACCCTATTTCTCTGTGTGGAGTCTGTGTTCTCTGCCTGGGTTGTGTGTGTGTGTTCGCGCGCGCGGGTGAACCGGCACTATTGGGGGTGACAGCGGTGCCGAACCGGCACTAAACCGGGCCTGCTCTCAATAGTGCCAGACCGGCACTATTGAGAGCTCCGCCTGTGTCCAGAGATTTCACCGGCACTATACCGGGCACCTGGCACTATTCAACCGGCACTAAACAGGGCCCGGCACTGTACCTGATTTTGAACCTTTGCGGTATATCCCAAACACGAAAGGAAAAATACTGTAGTGCTCCTTCGAAGTACGATCCAAGCTTAAAGGAGGTACCATCACCGTTCTCCGGAAGCTGTCTGATGTTTTCTGTTGGGGTGCCCATCGTATAAAGCACGACTTGCCACGAAATCCACAAAACCACCTCACAGGGTGTTCTTTGAGATCCCAGGCAATTATCATGCCCCAATTTTTGTCAAACCGGAGAAAGGTAAGATTTGGCCATCGTAACTGAAACAACACCATCGCGGCCACCTTTTCAGATTCCGGGACTCGTACTTCAAAGCAGGATTGCGCACTGGGAAGACTCCTAACTCATCCAGAACTTGGAGAGTGTGCAGCGTAAGAAATGTGTCTGTGCTTGGGATCTGCGCTACGGCACTCGAATTGCAGGCCGCCTGCAAACATTGCCTAAGAGCATTCCAAGTTTACTCTTATTTTCAAGAAGTGCAGCGGGATGCCCCAAAAGCGTAATCGACCATTCGGGTGGCTCAGGAGTTGAAAGGAGGTCGGCCATGATCGACCGTAGATGGGTAAACGTCGTTGTAGTGTTCGGGGGGTGCTTGTGCTCGCTAGTCGATCACGGCACCAAGTCACGTCATCACGCCCAAACACCAAAAATACTCTTCATGAATCTACACCATTACGTGACACTCGCAAGGAAAATATCAAGGAGCTTCTCGTCCCACCTCACCTTATCACTGCAACCTCCGTAGCTGTCTACCTAACATGTCACCAATCATACTCTTACGAGCATATCGAATGGCCCCGCCGCTTTCACCTTCTCCCGGAGCTGTTTCCTCTTCCCCTGGGTCGCTTCACTTCCTTGTGGCGCGTTTTGTGTCTGCAGGCGAGATTACTTCGATTTCGAGTCATGATGTAGGCAGTAGCGTGAGCGTGTGCGTGATGTTGGTTTCGCCTTGTCTGCACACAGAGGCACAATTCACGCCTAAAACGCGAATAGACGCGAATTGTGCCTACTGTGCAGACAAGGCGAAACCAACATCACTCACGCGCTCACCGTCCTGCCTACCTCACTCGAAACCGAACTAATCTCGCATGCAGATACAAAACGTTCCATGACGAAGTGAAGCGACCCAGGGGAAGAGGAACCAGGTCCGGGAGAAGCGGACGGCGGCGCTGCGGTGTGCGTGTGGGGTGTAGATTAATGGTTACGCCTTTTCGAGTAAATCGTCCTTCACGATGAGATATCTACAGCAGTACCTCCAAATGATCAACGAACAAGGGCATGGCCACACCGAGCGATCTCTAGGCCCAGGTTGCCCACTCGGAAGTGCGCTACTACCGCTCGAACCTTGGAAGTCGCCTAAGGCTTGGTGATCATTAGCGCCGACGGAGCGCCGAGCACCGTACCACCGGTCGCGCGCCTACGCCACTGGTTCCGCCGCTGATATCGATGTCTTTTAGTTCAACACCGACACACCCTGCCTCGGCGCCTCTAGGGGCATGCCTCATCCACCCCCTTCCCTCCACTTGACTGTACTTCTCTGCTGCTCCTCTTTCGTCGGGGGACTGCGTTTCCTTGCGTTTTTTCACAACACGACCGGGCCAGATTCGGTCCCAGGCCGCACGGTACGAAGCTCGAACGGAAGCGGCGGAGATGGGGCGGATACAGGTAGGTCGCACACAAACAGAGCAAGAGACGGAAGTAGCGTGACCGATTGTGTGAAGCTGTCCTAGCGGCACCGCGTAGCACGGCCAACCAATTCAAGCCACATTCTCTCCCGCGTACCTGTCACATCCGCGCGGGGCGGCGACATTATTTCTGCTTTCGCTGCCTTAACTACGATACAGCAGCAAACCGCAGTAGTACGCGGTTACTCCCATATTCTTGCATGCCACAAAAACAATGTCCAATTTGGGGTCCCGATGAGATTGGAGTTGTTTGTTATGTGCCCGTTAGCGCGGTCATGCTAGCCAGTGAAACGAACGTCGTGTAGGTTTTTCTGCGGACTGGGAGGCATTGTGTTGTCCCGCAGAGAGTAACGCCGTTTCGTTGGTGAGCCGGTCAACCGCGGTCGACCATCCTCATCATGCAATCGCATCTGCTGCAGGCTGAGATTGAACTAGAACAGCTGCAGCGGGAAGAGAGCGGGAGCGCCATGACCGCGAGGAACCAAGTCCGCACGGTGACGGCCGGGTGGTTGGTGGGCGTGATCCTTGGCTGGGCCGCCGGCTTCGTGCTGGGGTGCCTCTTCTCTCCCGCGCTCGGCTTCATGATGGTAAAATCTCTCTCGCAAAGCGGTGACACCCCGAAAATTTCGCGTTTTGAGAGACTCTACTTCGAAAACGCCTTCTTCCCCCCCCACCGAGAAATTTTGTCTTGTCTACATTTTTCCTGATCGGGTTGTGAAATGCCAACAGCACAGGAGAGTGTAGGGTTCCTTTCTCGGATGTTCTCGCAACCATCCTTTCACGTCCTACTTGCCTTCGAGTTGGTTAAGCTCCCCCCTTCGTCCGCACCAGTTTTTTCCTTGAATTATCTTTGGCCTTGGTTTGAGTTGATTAGATCGAGGAGACCCCCTTGATAGTTTCTCGGCCTCTAGGAAGCCTGATGCAAGACGATTCACGCTTCCTTTCTTAGGCACTTCCTTCTTTAGGCCCTGACTCAGTAACCCTATGACGGCTTGCTCCAATCAATGTGTTTGGGTGGGGCCTCTGCCAATGGGACGACGCTCGTTGCGAACCTCGATTGTTGTGATTATTTTCTGTTGCCCCGGGTTGAGTGGGTTGTGCCCTGCACAAGGACTTTCGAACGTTTTGTTCGATGCACGATTACGCTCTTCGTCGCCACGTGAAGCCGTTGCCCGTGCAATATTTGTCACCTCCAAAAGCGCCGTAGCTGGCCATACAACCGTTTCGTGGGTCACAGCTCGCGCTCACTAGCGACTTGCTCAACACGGTGCTGCGGCACTCGGCTCGGTGCACTTGTAGATAGTGGGAACCCCGGACGTGCCCCCATCCGTCCCAGACTTGTAGATTGGGATGGGACGGGTTATTGTCAACGCAGCAGCAGGATTGGTTGGCTATTTTGAGGAGACAAAGAAACTACCCAGTTCATACTCCTACCTACATATTAGAGTGCTAACACAACCGAGTTCCTTTTTCCTTCCGAATCCTGACTCTCCAATGCAAGTTACAGAAGCAGTCAAGACCTTGAGCGATAACGAAGACGAGGTATGCACACAACAACAATGTCTCGTGCCATCACAACAGGTTCTCCCGTTCGTGTCAGGCGGGGTGATCGGTGGTCTGGTCTACTCGCAGCTCCGGGACAAGATCCGATCGCTGAGCCGGCGACCGGTAAGAACGCTACCCAACGAACAACTCGACAGCTGCTGAGAGAGACCTTTGTTGTCGTTGGTATTGCGGATGGTGGCGTTGGTGTTGGTTGTTATCTTTGTCGTCTTCGTCGTCGCCGTCGCCGTTGTTGTCACAGTACTACTGGTGGTGTCACGCCCACCAAGCTACCTGTCCGTACTGGCTTTGCTATCTGAACACTTTGTCCCGTCCCTGCCAAAAAAAACCAGATGCCGATGGAGCAGGAACATCAGCAACCGAGAGGTCGGAGCAGATCTGAAGACAAGCAAGAGTTCTTGCGGCAGCTTCAGGGGCGCTCCGATCCGTCTGCAACCTACCTACACATGGGCACGGACGACAGCACCCTTCCCTCCGGATCTTTGTGAGTTAACTTCTGGCCTCGCGCTTGCCTCAACGCTCCCTGTTCGGCATGAACCTCTCTGCGTGCTTGGCATATTGGTCTCACGCACATTCCGTCACACTAACTTTTCTTGCCCTTGGCGCAATTGGGCTTCGCAAACACCGCGTCTACGAAGAACCGTGTCCCCCAAAACATTTTTGCGCGAACGCGACTGAAACACCCACTCCATTCCACGGAACTTGTCTCATGTCGTCCGTTCCCACGTGAATGCACGTGTGCAGCTTGCGAAGAGTGGCGCTGGGGGCGACGCACATTCTCGTGAGGTCTGCGTTGGATGTAACGGCGGCTGCGGCCTGCGCGATGCTGGGCCTTGGCAGGGGCGGCGGTCGAACTCAAGGCCGATGACAGCCGTTGAATGTACACACAGTAGAGCACCCTTTCTTTGAAGCTGGGATAGTTGGTTGGTGCGCCGTGTATGTGTAGCACAGACCGTGTTGTCTTGGACGGCACTTAAAGAGCAGAGGATCGGAGAGGTGCTGCTTTCCTGCGCGAAGATTCACCGAACGAGGTGCTGTACCGCAGTATTGTAGGCAAACCTCTGCCCCACGTAACCGCTACGATTTGCCAACGACGAAATATTTTTGTGTGTCCAAGTGAGTTTTGCCATTTAATGTTTGTTATATAAAGTCTGGAAGGTAACTCAATGGCAAATAACGAGGGGGAGACACCGATCGCCTCCCTCTCTCATCCAGAATCCAAGCTTCATCCCTTCCATGTCAACTGGCCGGGCTTAACAAAATGCCGTCTCAGTATACCGAGACCCCCAATGGTACTCTACCATCGACATCCACTAGTCAGACCCTCATACCTCAGTTCTTCGTGGAATAGTAGCAATCATAAAAGCAATACTCCCCCGGTACTCGTACCCCCGGTTATCGCCATCTCCCCCTCCCCCTCTTTCGGAAAGACAGCACTAACTCCCGGAAACAGAATGTCCTGACAGGTAGCAGCTGGCCGTGTTGTTCACTCGTACGTCTAGCAATGCCTGTGCTCCTCCTGGCACTGCTGATGCTTCAACGTGACCGGGCGCATTAGGAATGTCCTGCGAGCAGTTGTCTTATCTCGGCATGCAGGCCTCCTCTCCTACAAGCACGCAGACATCCTCGTCGCTATACAACATAAATGCCACCTATCAACTCCAATAAACCTCATTTCAGACTCCTCCCCCCTTTGGTAGGATCCATCCGAAATTCTCGCTTTACAGTATTTCTCCGCCTAAACACGGCTCCTTCCCCGGCCTTGCTGATCTTCTCTGCTCAAGAGGCTACCCCGCACCGCCGCATGGAAGGGTCCTTCTCCCGAGAGTCTGCCAACTGTCCGATTGCGGTATCGCCGCCATTTCTCTCGTGGGAACAACGGGTCTTTTCCTCGACGAGTCTTTTCCTCGGGCGCCGTCATGGAGACCAGAGGATGTTCTCCGGTCTGGCAGGGACTTATGTACGATACATTTTTATGACAAAACAATTGCAGCAGAAAATAAGAATCTAAAACAATGCAGGTGAAGAGATGCGTCAACACGGACAGCTACTTTCGGAACGACAGCAGGCACGTCCAACCAAAAACATTGGATTTGACTGTTGAAATGCTTTGCCCGATAACCTCTACGGTTTCCGCACCCTCGCAAAAGTTTCACATTTGGGGCACAACCTAGCCCCCCATCGTCAACCCTTCGGTCAGTTAAAAGAACAAATTTGGGGACCCAACGAAATGAACACCACCACGAAATGAATTGCCAAACCAACCCATGAGACACGGCACACGAGCACCGTAACCTGCAACACTGGTGTCTCTCCACCTGGATAAGCGTCGCCGACCTTCCCTTTCGAACCTTTCGAAAAAGATGAAAACACAAAGTCTCCACGAGAAACAACTGGAAAATGATGTCGAGGTCCGACGCGCAAAACATGACCACCCGTGCTCCCTACCCTACCAGCTTGGAGTACCAATTCGCACTGGACTTTTTTATCTCTTGTTCGTCTTTTCCCTCTGCGTCTTTTCCCTCCTCTGCGTCTTTTCCCTCTGCGCCTTTCCCCTCCTCTCCGCTACCTTCACCCAGACCTGCAAGAACCATGGCAACATGTTTGAGGTTCACCCCTTTTGCACGAACACAGCACTCATCCCGCGGCGGAACATTCAAACGGGACTGATGAATGACAAGGCCGTCGCCCCCCTTGACAATAGGGTCTTCATAAAACTTCACCACACGATACTGGCCTTCGCCGCTAGGGACAGTCGATACCGGGGTCATCTGCCGAGGGCTAGATTGTGACGGGGGTGTTGCTTGGGTCGACAAGGGACCTCCGCGTACTGGACTCAAAGAGCAGATGAGTAGACGCTCTACGCAACCAACCTCTCGCAGCCTCAGCCTCTGTTCTTGCGCCCATGGCAAGACTTCTTGGCCCGAAGGGGCTTCCCCTTGGGGTAACCACACATACTCAGTGCGCTTATTGCGTTCGAATCTCCCGCCGACCTCGATACCTTCACCACCCGGTAGTGACCCACCTACTGCAAGTTGGACGGCGTGCCGCTTGTCACAGACAGCCACGTACTTCGTGGGCAGCACGACTAAAAACAATTGTTGGTTGGAATTGTTGTGCACTAGTACCCCCTGCTTGTCGGAGTGGTTCAACCACGTGATCCCGCAAGTAGGGTCGCATTTCATGCAGCAGGAGAACACCGTAAAGTGGTCAATGTGCGCCCTCAGATATGTCGAATCGCGATCCTCCACCAAGAACATGTCTTCCCGCCTCAATGGCTGCCATTCGTGTTCACCGTGACTCATGCGCAGAATCTGTTACAGAAAATGCCGACGCATGCCACGCAATAAACGAGCACGTATTGTTGATGATTCTACAATGTATTGGAAAAGACGAAGGAAAACAACATAACTTCATAATTTTGGGGTTCCACTTTCTTATTTTCTGGTGATGGCGTCATTTTGTATACGGAGCCCACACATTCCCTTGCGATTGGACTCTGGACCCCTACAAAGGGACCAAGTGTGTTACGTCTGGAGAAAACGTACCTGGTAGCGTTTGAGGACTTTCTTCAGAGCCCCCTTCCCGTTGCGGACGGCAGGATCGTCGAGAAAAAAGTCAAGCAGCAGCGGCTCTTGGAAGCGATGATCTGGGGGGCAGTGCACGATGGTGGTGGTGAAGTAGTCTTGACCCTTACAGCTCAAAAGCTGAGTTGCAAGGTGAAGGCGAACGGGACCCGGTCCAGGGCCGCTCAGGCTACCGTGCTGAACACTGAGGCGGATACCGCCATCCCTTGACCGGTAGTTCTCACCAGCCTGCAACGTTTCCGTCAGTAGTTCCCACTCGCCCCCTGTTTCAAAACCGGAAGAATCGCGATTGAGAGATGTACAAATTTCGCACGTTGAAAGTTAGATTGACGCCTACGGCTGATGCGTTGAACAGCAGGCCTTAAAACAATTAGGCCGTCGGTGATCAAGGTGGAAAAGCTCACGGACTACTCTTAAGTTTCTTTGGGGAGCCAACAATCATTTCGCACTCACAATCGATAGCCGATTCTTTCGACTCGAACCCGCTGATGATGTCGGCATCCTCTTCGGCGGACTTTCTAGCTCCCTGCTGCGCCCGCGAGGGTTCCGAGAATGGGTTTATCGGAGGGCCCATCGGATCAGTGACCTGGCCTTGTAGGTCCGTTCGGGTGTCAAACGCGCTTGTTCCGTCCTCAATTCTAGTTGCCGTCCGCCGAGTTTCCGCCTGCAAGAGCGAGATCGGGATTTGCGACTTCAGCAACATCTCACAAGACCTGAGCAAGTCTTCCACCCACTGGTGTGGCCCCTTTCCGACAAAGACATTTGATTCTCAACTGACTTTTCAACCCCCGGGCCACATCTGGGAAAGCCGCGCTCAGTCCCTTCTCTCGTATGGCTTGTGACCACTCATGGAGTGGTTTGGCCTAGGACGATCCCTGGAATTCGACGCATAAGCGCGAAAGGAACGTGGTCAGTAGTGTGAACAGAAAAAAAACGAGTTCAGAACAACCACACCCGGTTGCTGAGCGTTGCAGCCCCACGTGCGTTCTCGAAACCCATGACCTTCTTGTCTACTACCTGGACGCCCGAGGACTACAAAAACATCTACCCACAAACACGAATACCACGCAACTTGTCCCAGGAAAACCCGAATGCTCTCACCTGCTCCCCCAGCAAGCCTGCCCGCATCATCAGCGGCTGGGCCAAATCAGGGTGTTCCGGACCCAGCACCTTCTCGCGGATGGCCTGTGACCGCTCATAGAGTGCATTGGCCTCAGCATACTTTCCCTGCATCGCAAACAGGTGGTGACTTTGAGCGGACGGTCCACCGAGCATTGAAACGGTTATCGCCATATGCAATGGATGGAGCGTTGATACAGGGGTTCAGCCTCATACTTGCCCTGGAAGTCGACGCCGAAGCGCCAAACGAACGCGGTCGACTCTAGAAATGCTGAGGAACAAACGCTCAACAAATTTGGGTATTGGCAACAGTCGGGTTAGAATTGACATTTGGAAGTGCGGAGCAATATTCAGCGTTTTTCAACAAAGCACCTAGAAGCGTCGCGTGCCTCTCACCTGGCTGGCCAACAACGTCGCCCAGTCGTTGAGTGTGGTCGCCACCGCAGGGTAATCAGGGCCAAAATAATACTCGCGGATGGCGACGGAGCGTTGGTACAGCCGTTCAGCTTCCTCATACTTGGCCTGGAATTCGACGCCAAACCGCAAAACGAACGTGGTCGACGCTAGAAATGCAAAGGGACAGACGCTCAACAACAACATCTGGTTTGTGAGCTCTGAAGTGGAATCGGGGTGCTCCTCGCCCACGGCTGAACCAAGGAGTTCAAGGGCTCCAACGGACAGAGGGTTCACTTCCACATGCTTGCCCTGGAATACAAACGGGAATGCCTTGCCACCCACAAGTGTGGCCCCTATGAAACTTCCGACAAACTTATTCGACTCCCAGTTGACATTCAAGCCCCGGCCCACACGCCTGGTTGTTGAGCGTTGCAGCCCCACGTGGGTTCTCGAAACCCATGACCTTCTTGTCTACTGCCTCCCCGAGGACTACAATCATCTACACGCAAACATGAATGCACGAAGTATCCCAGGAAAACGGGACTGCTCTCACCTGCTTTCCACGCGATCCTGCCCGCATCATCAGCGACTGGGCGACATCAGGGTGTTCCGGACCCGGCACCTCCTTGCCGCCTACTTCGATCGCATCGGCCCTGGTGCGACTAGCAACGCGCGGGAATAAAGCGATCTTGTTTGTCCCATCTCGCCGGCCCCTCCCCCCGCGCTCCCCCGCTCTGTCATTGTAACTCAAACTAGACATGTCTCGCTTTCCGGTCGGGCTCAAAGGTGTAACACCTTCGCCAAAATGCGATCGCGCAGTAGTAGGAGTAGGCGGTCGCTTTGCTTTAACAGCTACCGGGGTCGGCGTAGACACGCTCGTGGGGATGCCTACTTCCTCCAATGGCGGCAAGTCAGACTTGATTCGCATGCGTGTTCGCGAAGGGCTTCGTGTCGTCTTGCGCTCTCTGGGCGTGCCCAGCCTCCGTGTTTGTTCATCGAGGGGCCGAGGGGAAAAAAGGCATGGCGCACATTGAAAGAGAAAGATGTCACCAGCACTACACAGTAGTTATCCCAAAAACGAGCATTATTGTGTACGGTACTGTAACCCGTCCACGACAGCAGCTGCAAAAACCCCTTACTTGGCGTCATCCACAATCACCACCTGTACATGACGCTGTGCCAGCAGCGCATACTGGTGACCAAACGGTATGCAGGAGGGGGCACTCACTTAAAAGGCTGCTGTCCCCGGACTCTTCGCCCTGTCGGCAATATCTGCTTGGACAAGGGCAGAACCACTCGTTGCGCGTGCCCTACTGCTAGTTTAAGGGCGGGCGCAGCAGCAGAAGCAGACGAAGCTGCCGCGGCCGCACCAGCGGGGTCCTTGCTGTTCCACATCTTGATCTCTCGTTTAGGAGCAGAACGCACGCTCGTTGATGAGGCCTTCCTCCCCGGGGTTGGCTGAGCTGGAGGCTGATCCAGAGAAGTCCTGCCCCGCACCAAATCTACTGCCTCCGGGGCCACCTCTGACGACGGCAGGCGGTCTCGACGTCGAGTGTTCCCGTTGCCGTGGTTTGCGCTGTCTGAGCTGCTCGTGCTGCTCGTTTCGGAGTATCTACGTGGACGGGCTTCGTCGTTATTCGACTTGCGTGAGGAGCCGTCCGCACTCTCTTCAGGCTTGCGGGACTTGCCTCTACGCTTCGGAGTGTCGCGTGGTTTGTGCGCAGGGGGCTGCATGTTCACGGTGCGATCGGAAATCGTCTGCGGTCTCTTGCGTGGAGAAGACTGTGGCCCCTTGTTGCCCCGGAATTCTGGGTTGACGGGTTTTCCTCCCAGCGCGCTGGTTAATCGATCCGCCGAACGTAGGCGAAATTAGTCAACATGCGAGTGTGACACCGACAGCGACTCGGGCAATTTACACTGTGCAGAAAGGACACGGGAACATGTGGTCCGACAACGAGCAGTCGAGTGCACCATATGCCTGGGGAGTACATCGCCGACTTGACACAGCTGATATGCATAATTCTTGCTAAGGTCGCCGCAAGGGGCCACGATTCACAAGGCGATGGGGACAGGACAACAAAGGTGGAAAACATGGACATAAAAGCTGCTCACCTATTTTCGCTGCCGGCACTGTCGGGCGTTTCCGAGGGAAGAGGAGGCTTTCCTCGAGGAGTGGAACCACTCATCATTTCCCGCTCGCTGCTTACCTCGCCATCAGTCGTTGGCAACACCGCAACTCCGGAACCACGCTGCACCGCCGCCGCCGGAATGGGGGGTCTTGTCGTTGGATCCCGTGCGGGGGAAGACGCCTTCTTGCCTATCTTCCGCGGAGAATTACTGTGCGGGAGACCTTCGAAAGAAACACGCGGAACCCCCGACGAAAAACGCCTGGCCTCCTTAGCGCCTACTTTGATCGAACCAGCCCTGTCGCTACTAGCATTGCGCCGTATTGAACGGATCTTGTTTGTCCCGTCTCGCCGGCCCCTCCCCCCGCGCTCCCCCGCTCTGTCATTGCCATTCAAACTAGGCATGTCTCGCCTTGCGGCCGGGCTCGAAGATGCAACACCTTCGCCAAAATTCGACCGCGCAGTAGTAGGAGTAGGCGATCGCTTTGCTCTAACGGCTATCGGGGTCGGCGTAGACACGCTCTCACGCGCGGGCAGAGTCTTTGAACGTACGATCGCGATCTTCGCCGCTGGCACCTCGGCAGTTGGCTGTCGAGGGGCTCGCTGCTTCGGCGAGTCTCCCATCTCTTTGGGGATCCGCTCGGTCGGGGAAGACGAGAAAACGCGACGAGCACGCTCCATCCCACGCAACCTCGCGGTTCTCCTGCGGATGGCTTCCTCCCTATTGGTCTCCATGATCAGACCCAGCAGCCCGCCCTCGTCGCTACCACCATCACCGTGATGGGCTGTGCCAGACATATCATGCGCTGCCCCTCCAGTCACACGCTTTGCAATTGTTGGTGGGGATTCCGCCAACTCGCTCTGGGGCCTTTACAAAGGGAACGGACGGAAGCGGGTGCAGGTGGGGCTATACAAAAAAAGAGGGCATATCACAATGGGAGACACAGTGTTGACAACAAACGCCGGTGGACGTGAGGCATAACGAAGGGATAAGGTAAACCAGCGTGCTTCTAGGCGCAGCAAAAGACAGCATGGCCACGGTTCAACCTTCGGTACACACCAAAGTGATTGGCGATAGCACGAAAGTATCCCGTACATCTAGGACTCACCTTGCAGCGCCTTCAGAGCTGGACCGTCCCCCTATTGTCATCTCGTGGCCACCCGAGTGATCCTCCTGCGTGTTCTTCGGAGAATCCCACCCTGACAGTCGGCCCCCCGACGTAGGGACGACCTTTTTTCCGTTGACCCATCCGGGTGACTGCGACCTTGCCTCCCCTTGAATCCGATCAGGTCGCGCTAACTCCGATTCATGTACCACGGAGTCGGGCTTGGCCAACCAGCTGGATTGCCGAGCATGAAACCTGACGAACTCTGTGTCGCCCATTCTCGATGAGGTTTCATTGATCCAGCCGGGTCGTACCGACTGAGCGCCCACGGATGCGGTATCGTGTACCAAACCAAGGCGCCTGAACCCTGGGTCGTCCGTTACCGATGCCATTTCGTTACTCCAGCCGGGTTGTTCCGACTGTGCATTTACGGATCCGGTGTCGTCATTCCAGCCAAGTCGCGTGGATGGTGCGCCCACCGATCCCTCTTCGTTGATCCAGCCAGGTCGAGTAGAGGGTGCATCTACGGATCTGGTTTCCATCCAGCCAGGTTGAGCAGATTGTGCGGCCACGGAATCGGTCTCATTGGTCCAACTAGACCGCGCTGATTGCTGTGCGTCCATAGGCATCGGTGCGTCCATCCAGCGGCGCCTTGCGGAGCGGTCGTCGCCCCAGCCAGCCTGTTCAGATCTGTGGACAGCATCCACCTTCGCCTTTTCCGCATCCAGCACGCTAGGTATGTGCTCAGAGTATGGCTGGTTGATCCAATTTGGCCGTTGCGAAAGTGTGTCGTCGTCACGAACGCTTTCAAAGCACTCAGAACCTTCAGGGGATACCAGCATCGGCATCGATGTCTGCTGACTCGAGGGCATCGATTTGGTCAGCTCAGAGATCTTGGGGATCAACCCCGGGGCCGTCCGTGGTGTTTGAGAATGGTCCTCGCAGGACCCGTTCCTCTGAACATGCAGGCAGTGTTAGAGGTCAAAGCAGAAGAAGAAGGGCTTGTGAGTCGGTGCTGCCGAAAATGACATTTCCATGTAGCAAAGCTATCTGACTATCCGTTTAGTGCCGGACCTCGGACAAAGTCGGGACAATTTACTGCAGTTGAAGTAAGACAGACGCGTTCCTCTCGGATTGAGCAACTTCTGCGGACAGACATATGCCATCAATGATTACCCACCGCTAACGCTTCGGGATACGGCGGGGGCGTCTCGGACAATCGGGGCGCCAGATGTTGCCCCGGATCCCCATCTCTATGCTCGATGGTAGCAGTCCTGTCGTCCTGCCTGCGCCCACCGTGGGTAGCGCTGGGACTGCGGCTAATGCTACTGCCTTCGACGATCCCCTCATAACCTGACAGTGTTCGGGCGCATTGGGCAACGCCTGCATATCAAACGGTATTGTACTCGGAGGTACGGAGGTAGCTTGAAAAGCAGCCGGAGCCACTCCGCGGTAGCACGCAACCTACACTCGAAGTGCGTCTTTAACGACAATCCCGAAGCGGGGTATCGGTGCAATCGCACCAGGGTGCGGCAATACCGAATACCGGTGCGGAAATTACACCATATCGTTCTTGCTCATCCACAGGATATCCGCGCCATGACTGAGATGGGTACGAAACCCCGATGGATGCCATCACAAATAACTACTACGGTAGTCAAAAGAAAATGGGAATACATATGATTCAACATTTCCGATGGCACGAATTTGTGTGTGCGCGTATGAATGAAGCAGAAAGCGGGTGACACATCAAACAAACCTGCTACTGCCGAGGCGAAATCCTTCCTTGTTCTATGCTTTCTGCTACGTCCACCGCAGAGCCAAAACATCGCGTCTCGATCCTGCGTGTTGTAAGGACGCATTCAAAGAGGGTTCGTGGCCATTTAGGGGACAAGCCTAGTCGAATCGTGGCTCCGTCGCGGGTTTGGGCGTTTCGCGTGGCAGATCCGAAGTATGGTGTCACCAAACGGGCATTTTCTACTTTCCCGTCATACTCATGCAAGAACTCATGAGCTACATTCGGGTACCCTTTGGTTCTTGCAAAGTTATCTGACTGTCCGTTTAGCGCTGGAGCCCAATATTCGGGATAATGTACTTGTAGTTGATGTAGACAGACGCGCAACTTCTGCAGACAGCATCAGAAAATGATTACCCACTGCTACCTGTCTGTTTGTGATTAGGCGTACATGAAGCGGGGGCATCATGTGGTTGTTTCCACGTGCACCCAGTCCTCACTCCTCTGTCAATCAATAAAACTTCTAGGAAAATATCATGGTTACAGTTGTTCAGATTTTCGATCTAAAACTCTATTGAGCTCACATCCTACACGTGCTCTATTGAATTCTGACCTGCTGACAACCAGCCACCCAGTTCATACGTACAAGACGGACGCACGTGGACACTGATTTTGACGAAATAATTGTTTGGAAGCAAATAAAATGGTAGGTGGCACACGATTTGACCCAGTGTTTGTCTAGAAGCAAATATCTGCGCACGATCTTGACCCAGTTTTTGTCTAGAAACAAGTATTTGCACTCGATTCTAAACGAGTATTTGTCTGGAACCAAATATTTGCACACGATTTTGAACAAGTATTGTCAGATGACACAAATGGCAAATGGAGTATGCGTACATGGTGTGGAACCTTTTGAGGATACCAGCATCGGCATATCAGCTCATGTACGTGAAGGAATCATCGGGGCAACACTCCTTCATGTACGTATCTAAAAGGTTTATTCGGCTCTCACCATGTTGCCCAACAGCCCCGCCCGGTTGTTGAGCGTTGTGGCCAAATCAAGATGCTCCGGACCCAGAACCTTCTCTTGGATGGCCTGTAACCGCTCGTACATTTGCTCGGCCTCAGCGTACTTGCCCTGGCATGCAGTCGTGGCAGAGTTGTACGCATAGTGCAATCAAATTAGGGTCTACTGATATAGTGGCTCTGGCTCAGCATACTTGCCATGATATGTTGTGGCAGAAAGTGGGATTTCAGTCAAACTGAGATATAGAACAGAATGTTCTTTTTGTCACGTCTAGAAGCATCGTTTGGCTCTCACCTGGGCGTACAACACTCCTGCCCGACTGTTGAGCGACTTGGCCACATCAGGGTGCTCTGGACCTAGCCTTCTCCCGCATGGCCTGTGACCGCTCATACAGCGGCTCGGCTTCCTCATACTTCCCCTGGAATGGCGTCGACAGCGTGGCAGGGTTGTGTTTTAGCACACGTCGGTCCTAGAGCTGCGGAGGGACGGTCTCTGCGTGAAGCTTCTAGGAAATCGTTTGATTTTCATCTGGTTCATCAACAAACCCGCCCAGTTGTTGAGGTCTGTAGCGACTTCAGGGTGGTCACGACCGTAAACTTTGTCGTCGATAGCCAGCGAGCGCCTGTACAGAGGCTCAGCCTCGTTATACTTACCCTGGATTGTGGCGGGAAAGGGAGAAGGTCGTTTGGTGATGGTGCATGCGCGAGAGAACAAATGCAGGGCGACATCCGGGCGCTCCAGGCCCAGACCCTACCCTCGTAACCGTGCATAACGTGATCCTCATAGCTGTGCATAGCGTGACGCTCTTAGCGTACTTAACAAGATACGTTGTGGCAGAAGGTCGGATTGAAGTCAAAATAGATCTAGAACTTGCGGAGGAATGCATTTTGCAGAAGCATCTAGAAGCATCGTTTGGCTCTCACCTGGGCAGATAACAACCCCGCCCGGTTGTTGAGCCGTGTGGCAAGAGCTAGGTGGTCAGGACCCAGCGTTTTCTCTACAATCTCAATGGCTCGAAGATACAAAGGGTCTGCCTCAGCATATTTTCCCTGGAAACGGAAAGACAGCGTCACGCGAGTGTGGTCAAGGAGATAAAGTATACTGCGGAGAAACAAACGCTTAACAACCTCCAAAGGAAACAACAACATAACTCCGGGCAAAATTGACGGCTCTAACCTGGGCGTACAACACTCCTGCCCGACTGTTGAGCGACTTGGCCACATCAGGGTGCTCTGGACCTAGCACCTTCTCCCGCATGGCCTGTGACCGCTCATACAGCTGCTCGGCTTCCTCATACTTCCCCTGGAATGGCGTCGAAAGCGTGGCAGGGTTGTGTTTTAGCACACGTCGGTCCTCGAACTGCGGAGGAACATTCTCTGCGTGAAGCTTCTAGGAAATCGTTTGATTTTCATCTGGTTCATCAACAAACCCGCCCAGTTGTTGAGGTCTGTAGCGACTTCAGGGTGGTCACGACCGTAAACTTTGTCGTCGATAGCCAGCGAGCGCCTGTACAGAGGCTCAGCCTCGTTATACTTACCCTGGAGTACAGCCGACGGATGGCAGGGTCGTGTTTCAGCACAAGCCGGGTCTCGAACTGCGGAGAAACATTTTCTGCTTGAAGCTTCTAGAACATCGTTTGACTTTCACCTGGCTCTACAACAACTCCGCCCGGTTGTTTAGCACCGTGTACAACATCCACAGGTGTGTTGTGTGTGTTGTGTGTGGTGCGTTTTTGTCCTATTTATTATGGCGACAGTCCCCCCATTTTTCGTGGCGAGACGTGAGGCCATGAGAATTCTACTAGAAAATTCTGGCGGCTCTCACCTGCACTCTCAATAAGTCCGCCCGGTTGTTGAGCGACTGGGCCACACCAGGGTGCTCTGGACCCAGCACCTTCTCTTGCATGGCCTGTGCCCTCTCATGGAGTGGTTCGGCCTCAATGTACTTTCTCTGAGCGAAAAGCGGTAGGTTGTGGGAACACAGTTGGTCACCCCGAACGACAAAACAAAATGCCTGCGTACACCAATTCTCTCCAGAGCTTTCTCAGAAAGAAGGATACTCACATCCTATCTATAGAACATTCGTAGACTCTGGTCTCTATTTCAAAAAGGTGCCCGTATTGTTGTCAGCTGGTGTAACGGAGTGGCATCAACGAAAATTGAAAGAAGTCGCCAACACCTCGAATAACCTAGAGTTGCGAGCGAGTTTGTCATCGAACGCCTTGCAAATAACAAACGCTCGGCCAGACGAAAAAATATTTTCCAGCCGCACGATGCGCAGCGACGCTGCATCATACAAAACTACTGTAGACAACGTACACACGACGAATGGTGCCGAATCGGCAAACAGACCAAATCTGCCATACCTGGGCATCGAACAAAAAACCCACAGCTGAGTAGGAGCTCGCCATGTCTTCCGTCGCCTTGCAGGACTCCAACTCCCTGAGGCTGGCGCGATACGTGGTAACCTCCAGCTCAGGGTCCCCCGAGAGCTTCTCCACCGAGCGCCAGAGGGAATCCAAAAAGAACAATCCTCGGTCTCCAGCGCCGTGCTCTGGGTCTCGGTAACTCTTGAGCACGTCCAATCTCCCGAGGAACTGGGCCTGCAGTGCTGTGGCCTTTTCCACCGTCTCCTCGTCTGCCCTGATGCTAGTCTTTGCAAACTCCAGGACCATGTCGTGCACACGGTACCCACCATCACCCACAGCGTGTAGAAGGCATTTGTTCACCAGACCCTCAGCTTCGTCTCGCGTACCCTCAGCGTCCTGCAGATACACGTAACACCGGAAATACATGAACTGGGGTCAACATGCAGCACAGTTCGAAGACCGTCGAAACCACGGCATACGCTCTCTCGCGCAACCCACTGAATTTGCCCGTACATCTAACAGGCACATGATTTGCAGACCTTTTCAAGACGTCCAGCTACATGTTAAAAGAGACGCCGCAACGTACCTCTATCTCCCACAGATTGCGCAGCATCTCGATCGGCGCAAGAGCACCCGCGGCCAACACAGACATCCTCAAAAACTCTTCTTGCTTCTGTACTGCCAAGGAGTCGAAACTGGTCTCAAGGACCACTTTGATAGCCGATGACTGCTGGCCCCGAGCTCGCATTTTCTTTGCCACGTTCTCAAACGATTTGGCCAGCTCTTCCCAGGCGACGGCGGTCAAGCCCTTCCCTTTCACGGCGGACATGGAACCCGCTATAGCGAGCACCAACGGTAGGTGTCCACAGAGCGCAACGACCTGGATCGGTGTTCGTCGGCAGTTGAATGCTCAGTCGAGTCGAGCACGATGATGTGTTTGACAGCAGTGCATCACTATTACATGTACACCGGGCGAAACAGATGTATGGAGGGATATTACCACACGGTCAACGCCGCCGACATATCCAAACTACAAGTTGAAGCGAACAATAGAGCAGGCTCTAGGGAGGTAGGTAGCGACATCATGGGTTGACAATCGAAAATAACAAAGGGACGCACCACTCAGCATCAAAGCCGTCATCGGTGTCATGTCTTTCTCGCCGTCACGGGGAACGGGAGGCATGCAATCAGAGAAGACTGAAACACACCAAACCAACCTCGACGTGCGTTGCTCGTCGCATAAACACCTGTGACACTTAGCATCAAGCCACCAACCGATGCCAAGCTCCACTCCAGGCGGCACTCAGGCAGACAGTGTATGAAGCCATGCATCAGCAAAACAAGCACATGCTGATACACGTTGTCGACGTGAGATTCAAGGCGCATCGATCACCTTGGTCATCTTCATCCGGACATAGTCCCCAGGCTGACCCACAGTCCCGCTCGTCTTCCGCAGAAGCTCCAGCGCCTCTTCTTCCGTCATGTCTCCAAGATCCAGACGTCTAGCCGGCACAACAACAACCGACCAATCACGCGTGGTCAGCAGCACCTTGAATCCCAGAGGAACAAGCGCGTCCACGACCTCACGCTCCCATACATCGTCCAGCACCACCAGGCGTGGGGAGGTGCCGGTAGAAGCCACGACTGCAGCCAGGTGCTGCTGCACCTGCTCGAGGCTGTCAAGAACTTGAGGCACCGCGTGCGGAGCATCCGTCGGCGCCACGCCCATCTCCCTGGCGAGGCCCTGGAGGAGAGGAAGCAGGCTATTCTTCGCGCCCCTCCCCACTCTCACCCAGGAAATACCGCCGCGGAAGTGTTCCCTCACGCTGGGCTTGCGAACGACAGCAGAGGCCAGCACGCTCTTCCCCCCTCCACCCAAACCGACGACGGTGTAGGGGGCACGGGGCTCCTCCGGGGCGGTGAGGCCGTCGGCAACTTCTTGTACCGCAGCTCGCTCCACGTAGCCGCGGGGCAAGTCAAGCGCTCCTGCGGGGACCGCGGCCATGTCCAGCAGCCTCGGGGGGCGCAAAGAGGGAAGCGCCGCCAAGAACAACTGGTGTTGCTCCAGCCCGTCTACCAAGGCGATGTCGCTCCTTATCCCGCGGAGGCACTCCTCGAAGCCGGCGAGGGCGCTCAGGTCTGGGCGATGGCAAAAAAACGCTCTACACTTGCCGTCCTTGGCCCACCTAGCCGCGAACCCTGCTAGCTCGTTGGTCGTGACGACGAAGTCTTGGATGGGCTTGTGCACCTGGGCGAGGGCACCCACCGCTCGACCGTGCTGGATCAAGACGGTGGCGAGGAACGCGCACTGGGACACCAAGCTCTGTACCTTGTCCTCGCATTCGGCTGCACCCTCGGCGGCCTCGATCAACGCCTTCAAGGCCTGGCACACAGGCACTAAGGGCCCTACGCTCGCAACGTCGAGCACCCCAACTGCAGCCGTCGTCATCCATGTCAGAGCCTCCTGGGCGAGGGTGGGGCAAGCCTCCCACTCCTCTGTCGCTCGAGCTCCGATGTGAAGAAAGGCGGGCCAAGGCCTCTTTTCGGCGAGCAGCTTACCAACATGTTCAAGCCGCTGCGAAGGGGAGGGAGGGGGGGGGCAGGGAGGGAGTTCGAGTATGTATGTATAGGGTTTCTCAGCTAAGGCTCGGACATTGGACCAAAAACACCTTCGATCAAACGTGGTGTCGTGGTGGGCAAGTGGGTACTGCTGTGACACGCACCTCTACCGTGGTGGGCTCGACCGCTGTTGTTGCTACTGCAAGACCCGCTTGGCTTGCACTGGCGGGGACACGTTGCATCCCGCCGACCGCCGACCGCCGACCGTCGCGTACGCCTACCGCTTGCTGTGAATCAAACGAAAAACGCGGCAGAGAGACACCGCACGAAAATAAATAAATGTCTCTTGGTGTGCTAATAATCATGCCGAGAAAAGTAATCACAGCAGAACATGCTTCACAAAGCCTCTTGTTATCCATAGGGCAACAAACTGCTGCACCACGATACATAGTCACGTACATGCTGCTGCACCAGATTGTGTTGTACAACAACCAAAGTTCTGATGTGATCATTGTTTTGTGCCCGCGGAATAAGACCCTCTTCTCGCAACAAGCGAAACAACTTGCTTCTTCATTTCAGCAGCGGCGCATCGGAGGTTGCTACCCAGCGTGTATAAGTTGTGCCGCAGACCATCTACATGCTGCGAACAGCAGCTGCGGCTGTGTTGTGCAACATCAAAATTATGCCGCAGACCATCTAGCTGGAGCGATGCTTTGAGCTGTTTCCCTCTTCGTCGCCATCTCAGCACAAGACAGTAGAAGGAATGGTCATGTGGTGGAAAAAATGCAACGAATTCAACGGACTTCGGCGGAGCAAAGTGCGGAAAAGAAAGAATCGGGGACCAAGCAAGAATAACCACTTTGAGGACGCCATGGAGCTGGCAGATCTCCCTCTCCGAAAACAAAGGAAATGTTTCTGCATATCTTCGCTTTCATAATGTCTAACTCCTAACTCCGGCACCAAGTTACCATTGCATCGCAACCGTCCGCAGATGTCGCTGGTGCACAATGTTAGTGGCTAAGGTTGTATGATACACTACAGGTTTACAATAAGATTCTGGGTTTCCCGTTCGAGATTCTCCAAAAATCCTTTCATCCGGAACTGAAGCAAAAGCTGCTGCTGCTCATTTGGTTGTTTGTTTAAAAATTCGCGAAAGTTCCGGCCTGTCCCCCTCCCCGCTGGGGTGGGCCAAGGTCAGCAAGAAGGCTTAGACATCGAAAGACCGCCCAACAAAGACCGGTAAACGGCCCCTAGCACCGTTCAGAGGATCCTGAATTCGGCGGTCGGGAACTACCGCTGTCGCGAGATCGGGGTCGCTCGTGACCTAGCCAACTGGCAGCTTCAAAATGAGACTGGACCCAAAAGCCCTGGGCTTGGACACCGGGGCCATGCAGCAGCAGAGAGCACGGCGAGGGTGGCGAAGTGGCCGCATGCCGTGGGGGGTATGCACCAGAGAGAGGATAGGAAATAGTCCTGAGCTGGAGGGTCACGCCGCGCCGTGACTCCGAGACAACTCTCTGGGACAAACGGTAACATATAATTTAGCCCGAGAGTCCGCAAAGCAATACAAGAAAGAAAAAAAGGGAGCGACGGAGAAAAAGGAGGGAACGAGCGAAGCGTAGCCTCGCTACGCGGGCAGCATGTGCCGCCCGAAAGAGACAGCAGGTTTGGCTGGAAACGGGCCGAATGGATACGGGCAAGCCTACAGTGTCCCGCCCGAGGCAGCGAGACAGGTGTATCGGTGATAGGGCTGAAGGAGACACGGGGGGCAGGGCGAACTGAATTCGCAGCGGCGGGTTTCCGGGTACTCTGCTGTGGCACGGAGGCTGGTGGAATCTATGGTGTGGGGATAGCCGTTCAAGAGCCGATGTGAAGCAATGTGAAGGACCTCTACGTTCACTACGGAATATATCTATGAACGCCATATGGCCATAAGGTTTGAGATGACAGGTGGTCAACTTCGTTGCTACGTACGCCCCAACGGTGGTCGCCACCGACGACAGCAAGCATACGTCCGGGGGGAAAGTTGACAGTCTCGTGCGGAGAATTCCCTCCAGAGAGGTGTGCGTATGTCCTGATGGACGCCAAAATGAGGACGGGAGAGAGGATGGATCGAGAGGACACGGGGGGGTCATGGCTAGCGCGGCAGGCACACCACGGCCGAGAGTCTAATGTGGTTGTCATCCCCCGGCCGGTGCGCCCAGTCAAGGCGGACTCAGACCACAACATCGTGGTAGCCACGGTCAACCTCGGTGGCAGGCATGCCCATAACCGAGCAGTTCGTACCATACCGAAACAGAAGCAGTTCAGCCAACGGGAATTGCAGTTCGAAGCAACATGATGGGCGGTGACAGAGCGATTCCTCCTCAACCTCGAACAGCGACTGGAGAGAACGACCACCACCCCGGAGATAGCGACTGAGTTCACCAATGCTCTCCTCGAAGCAGCGCGGGCGGTGCTACCCGAGGAACCGCGAAGACGACGCCCGCACGAGTGGTGTGAGACCCCAGAGACGAGAGAATATTTGGAGGAGGCCCTGACCAAGCGGCGGGAAACGCGCCGAGCGATGAAGGGCAATCGGGACTCAACACCATGGGGGAAACTCAAAGCAGAGTGTCAGGGAGTAGCTGCAGCAGTCGAAACGGGCATACTTCTATATGGCCACCTGGACAGATATGTGACGGAACTCGAAGCGATCTACATGGACCGCGACATGAGAAGACTCTACAAACATCTCAAGAGATGCGTGGGCCTCAGTGGCAGCCAAGCGGGAGGACAACAGTTCGGTGCGGACAAGAACGGCGGGCAGCTCCGGAGCAAGAACGACATCCTCCAGCGGTGGGTGAGATTCTTGGGCACCCTCTTCAACACTGAGTCCCCCACACGGAACCCATACATTATCGAACAAGAGACGCAGCCGCCAGCGACACGAGCCACTCGACGGCTGGCAGTGGCGCCCGTCCTTGAGGAGGTGGAACGGGCAACAACAGGCCTGTAGAGCTGGCGTCTAGCCATGACTTCCTCCCTGCCCGAGTTGCTCAAGGTCGATGACGACGAACCAATCGTCCTGGAGCACCACCATGCCATCCTCGTTAAGTGTGGAGCTGAGGAGAGATCCCGCAAGAGCTGCAGGACGCAACCATCAACGTGCTGTACGAACAGGGTAACAGGTCCAACTGTAACAACCTCAGGGGGATCTCGCCGCTACTTCACGTGGGCAAGGTCCCCGTTAAGATCATCACCGACCGCCCCAGCGCCTTCTGGGAAGCCAACAACATCCTCCCGAGGGCAGTGCGTGTTCCGACCTCGGCAATCCATCGTCGATACGCTGTTCGTCGTGCGGCGACTCCAGGAGCTGGGGCGGAGAAGAAAAATACCGCTCTACATGTTCTTCGTAGACCCAGCAGCAGGCTTGTGACTCGGTAGATCGAGAGCTGCTGTGGAGGGTATTGGCCAGGGCCGGGATTCCCGCGGAGACGATCTCCCTCACCCGCCAATGCCACGACGGAATGCAAACCCGGGTGCGCATGGACGACGGAGAACTATCGTACTGGTTGTGGGTCACACAGGACTTGCGACAAGGGTGTGTGCTGTCCCCACTGTTAATCAACATCTTCTTCGCCGTGGCTCTCGAAGTTGTTGTCGTTCGATACAGCGAAGATGATCCTATTCTGTGGAACCTGGTGTACCTGGCGGACGACACGGGAGCGGGGGCGGGTACACCACTTGACTAAGTGCGGAGGGGGGTGCATTCTATTTGAGTACCCTTTTAATAGGGAAGTTAGCGTGTGACCACGGGAATCGACAGCGTCAAAGTGGTAGATCACGGACCGAGAAACGTACAACAGTCGGCAGAGAGATCGGAAGGTTTTTAACGTGAAGATAACAACAACAACAGCTGCAGCAACGGAGTATTGGGGGAAACCGGAGTAAAACTGGCAGATGTGCCTGAAGGACGACCTCAAGATGTTGGAGGCAAAGCACGGATCTACGGAGGCCGGGTCATGTGTCTTCGGAGTCCCGCAAACAACTTGGACGGAAGCAGCCAAGGTGTAGCGGGGTTGCACGGGGGTACTGCAGGGAGGTACGAGGTTCATGACCTCCTGCCACAAGGATGAAGAGGAGGCTAGCCGGCAACGAGCGGTCAAACGAAACAAGCCCGGCAAAAGTACGGACATGGCAACAACCAATGCGGCGGGAGGGGGGCAGCAGACGGACGAGACGGCGAGGGAAGAAAGGAAACGAGAAGAGGCGGACCGAGTGACGCTACATACGCCGGATTGAACCCCTTGATTGACTGATCCCCCCCCCCCCATCAATGCACCATTGCACCGACCCCCCACGAGCGATGACGTGCCTTTCCTGTCTCGGGTGGCCCTTTTTGTAGCTTTTGGTTTTGTATTGTCTTGTTTGTTTGTTTGACGCTACGGTAGTGGTTCTGGCGTGCGTCTTCTCTCTCCCTCTATTCTCTTTTTATTTTCCTTTCCAGATGATGACCGTCTCTCTTATCTTCTGTGAAGTACCAACATTAACCAGGGAGTACACCTACATACCCCTCTGGCCCGTGATGTTGACTTCCAGCCTATGTTTACCTCGCATAGCGTGTAGAGGCGAGCGGAAGGTTCTAGGCTATCTGCCATTGATTCCTATTGACTTGCGGACCCTATCCATTTTTAATTCAGGATACCTTTTGGGCGGGAAAAGTTAGCCAGTGACCACGGGAATCGACCGCGTCAAGACGGCAGATGGAGGTACTGGGTAGAGAGATCGGAACGGTTTTAACTTGAAGACAACAACAACAACATTGTTTTGGCGTCGTCTGTGAAAGAGGGATTCGTCCTCGACAGACGTTGGGGAGATTGTACCTCTATGAAGGTGGTTTCCCTATTACCCCCCCTTTTTTTAGCCTTCTTCCTGTTTGCTAGGCAAGAGAAGTCTTCTAGGGGTAACTGGAACCCGACCGGCTGGCGGCGGGGCGATTCACTTTTCTTCACAATCCTCTGTGCGTGATTACACGGGTGCGCTACGTCCGCCACGTCATCAGAAGTTCCGAGTTCGATAGCCAGTGCGTCCTTCATTGGCCCACCCACCGTTTTTCTTTTTCCGTTGCGCAGAAGAAAATTTGGTGAGCAGCGGGTTTTCAACCCGTGTCTTTTGCAACCAAAAGCAGACACTCTGACATCTCTGTCGACGTCATTGTGAAGAAAGGGAATCGTCCTCGACAGACCTTGGGGAGATGGTA